CAAACCGCCGTGAAACAAACGCAAGAAAAGAATACACAAGGCGAGAATCAAGAAGACGAGAACGAGAGCCTAAAAGAGAACCAAGAACAAAGACTTAGGTGTAAATGTATTGAGTCGATCCTATTGTGATCAAGATCGACCCAAGACTCATCTATTGGCTCTTTAGGCTAAAGAATTCTCTCTTGCATTTGCATAACATCAAAATACTTTTCAAATATGTCTTTTGTGAAAAACCTTTCAAAACATGTGTTTTAATAACTCTCCAAACCAAAACACGTTTTTAATCAATGAAATATCTTTGGAGAGCTTTTGCTGATTTGATGGCGAACCACCCAACCAGCGATGGTCATCTCAGACCCATCGCTGGTCAGATGGTCTTCAGACCAGGCTGGTAAACCACCCAACCAGCGATGCTAAACTTCACCCATCACTGGTCAGATGGTTCCTTGTACCAAGCTGGCAAACCACCCAACCAGCGATGGTAAGCATTACCCATCGCTGGTTAGCTGGTCTTCAAACCATGTTGGCACTGAACCTCAAAACCAGCGATGGTAGGCATTACCCATCGCTGGTAAGGCATGCTTCAGCTTTGAAAGAATTCCAGTAAGCCATCAACCAGCGATGGTGAGTTCCACCCATCGCTGGGTAGCCTGGGTTCAAATAATACCCCATTCCAGTAAGTCATTCACCAGCGATGGTGCATTACACCCATCGCTGGTCACCCATCGATGGTAAGCTTAGACCATCGCTGGGTAGCACAGACCGTTGGAAGGTTTAATGCTTGATCCTTTCCTAATTGAAGTAGTCAACATACAAACCAGCGATGTGGTACTGATGACCATCGCTGGTCAGGTAACCGTTTGTTTTAAAAATAGGAAATTTTTGCACTAACCAGCGATGGGTAGTATGTGACCATCGCTGGTCAGGCAGTTTCCTGCAGATCCCAAATTTGTTTTAATCCCACAAATCAAGCTAATCACCCCATTAATGTTTTTGAACGTTGGAGCCTATTTTTCTACTATAAAATGGGGTGCTTGGGGTCTGTTTTCATGATCAACGCTCTTCACAATCCATTGTTTACAGTGCATTCAAATTCTTCTCATTCTTTAGCTTCTTTGAGAGCCAATTTGTGAAGTCATTGAGTTTCTTGAGCGTATACAGTTTACTCATATTCACTCTATAAGAGAGTCCTGTTCTTGAGTATTTGTTGGTGTTCTTAGACACTTGGAGAGAGGAGTCTTCTCTCATTGTTCAAAGGAAGGGCTGTTTCCTTTGAGGATAGCGTTGAGGTTCGTGTGACTCGAACTCTCAAGTTGTAAGGTTTCGTTGAGCACTGTTAAGCTTAACAAGGTAGTAGCGTAGCTCGAGAGAGTCTCTCGGGAGACTGGATTAGCCACACGTTGTGGTGAACCAGTATAAATCTTGGTGTGCCTTCTTCTCTCTTTTATTTCCGCTTTATATTCCTTTAAAATTTTAATTCCTGCAATTTTATTGATCAAACGCTATTCACCCTCTCTCTAGTGTTGGTCCTTTATTCTAACAGATGGTAGGCCGACAGTCAAAGTAGCGGTGGGGTGGGGGCGAGGCTGGTGGTAGTGGGAGTTGGGGCAGCAATAGTGTAGGCCGTGGCAAATCCAATCGGAAATGGGAGGTTGGGCAGCTGTAGGCTTTCAAATCAAGCATGGGTATCAAGGGCATTTTAGACAAACTACACTTAGAGTCAAAACCAACTCAAAGTGAGGAAAAGTCAAACCGGGAAGTTTATTCCCGGACGGAGGGAGTACTCCGTAATAACTTTCTTGAAATAGAGTGAGAATAAGGAAAGACAATTGTACATCTAATTCCATAATAGTGAGTGAATACTGAATATGGGAATTCTTTTTTGAATTAGTGATTATATATGTTTTCTTTGCTGTGTAAAGCGTATGGATTTAGCAAATAATTAGTCTATTTCAGTAAGAGCATATATAAAAAGTTACTCCATCTTTGTTTAGTGTAGTTGGGTGAGAGCAGTAGCTAGCTAGCTATCTCAAGTACCTGTAGCATCTTCCTTCATGCTCAAAACCCATAGACTTGCCAATCATATCTGAGGATGCGCAACGAAAGAGAAGTAAGGTTAGATTCCTCAACCAAGATTCCCATAGTGTAGCTACTAATGTAATATTTATAATGGGAAGTAAGACCCATATATAGTAATGAATTGTTCCTGTGAAGAAATGAATTGTTTTTCTTATGCTGGGTTCCTTTAATCTACTAAGAAATTTATATCTTACTAGTTTATAAAAGTGGTGGGGTTTATACTTTCCCCTCAAACTTGAAGTGGGATCTTGATATATCACTCTCACACATACAGCTCCTAATGATGCATGCATGTGGAAAGTTCAGTCGCGCTAAGGAAGCTATTGCTTCATCAGTTTAGAGTGAACGCCTAAAAGGGGGACCTCGTGCAAGGAAGAGATATATAGCTTGAAACTGACAGGTCCAAGTAGAGATCGCTTAATTGTGAAAAGTGTTGTTAAACAGATGGGAAATTTAGTGAATGATTAAAAAGGCTGTGAATCTGTCTCTATCATCCATCCATCAAAGGAACAACACCGGAGATCCAAAAGCCTATACGGCGGATCTGTCTCCAGCGTTCTGAGAAGCAACAGCAACAGGGGTCTGTCCCTTTCGCAGCGGGGGTCGAGATGCAATGATGGCAAACTGATCTTTGGATACTTGATTTTTGATTATAGAAGAAGCATGATGGTAAAATCGTTTTTTAGGAATGTAGGCTTTGGATATTTCAAAAAATGGTTGAAATCAACTACGGAAGTTCCTCTTCCCGGTGATTTTTGGTATTTCTTCTTGTTTTTTGGCAGCCAAATCAGTGATGGTAAAATTGATTATAGGGACACATTTAGGAGCAGAGATTTTTTCACACAGATCACACACATCATTTGTATTAAAAAAAAGGCATAATCGGGAAGTGAATTTAGTGGGCAGAGAGAAAATGCTCCCTCACAAAGTCGCAGTCAAATTTGCAACCACGGGAAGTAAAGAGTTTTGAGTTAGGGGCAAAGTGGTCATTTGAAGCTAAATAACTTATCATAAATAAAAAGTGTGATGACTTAAAAAGGAAAATGGACAAAAAAAACTGGGAAGGAAGGAGTAATAAAAAAAGAGAAAAAATAGAATCCACCATACCAAATTTTATCACCAAAGGGACTGTTTTGCTTCTAGTTATTCCATTCTCGTGTTGCGTTGGAAATTATATGCCGGGCAAAAGTTGCTTTGACACCAACGATTTCTATCTAGTCACACATGCTCAATGCAACTTTCTATATGTGTAATCTTTCCACTGGTTGAACTTCTTTTGCAACTTTCATCATATCCTGAACCACAATCTCAAACATATAATGAGAATGCACTGAACGATAAAATAAATTTATAGCTTCAACAAGCTCACCATTTTCAATAAGCCCCGACATTGTGTCGTTATCGTGTTGAGCTTTCAGTAACAAGTTGAAATACTCCCACATCTCTAAACCAGCCCCTTTCTTCCAACATCAATTTTATTCTGCAAAAATAAGTCAAATCATTATCGAGAAGGGCTCCCAACATCAGTTTAATAAGAGTTTTTTCTTTAGCTAATGTTAGTACTAGGTCAAGTTGAAGAAAAAATCTTTATTAAACTGATGTTGGGAGCCCTTCTCGGTAATGATTTGACTTATTTTTGCAGAATAAATTTGATGTTGGAAAAAAGGGGCTCTGGTTTAGAGATGGAGGAGTATTTCAACTTGTTACTGAAAGCTCAACACGATAACGACACAATATATGATGTCGGGGCTTATTGAAAATGGTGAGCTTGTTGAAGCTGAAAATTTATTTTACCGTTCAGTGCATTCTCATTATATGTTTGAGATTGTGGTTCAGGATATGATGAAAGTTGCAAAAGAAGTTCAACCAGTGGAAAGATTACACATTTAAAAAGTTGCATTGGGCATGTGTGACTAGATCGAAATCGTTGGTGTCAAAGCAACTTTTGCCCGGCATATAATTTCCAACGCAACACGAGAATGGAATAACTAGAAGCAAAACAGTCACTTCGGTGACAGAATTTGGTATGGTGGATTCTATTTTTCTCTTTTTTTATTACTCCTTCCTTCCCAGTGTTTTTGTCCATTTTCTTTTTTAAGTCATCCCACTATTTTTGTCCACTTTTTATTTATGATAAGTTATTTAGCTTCAAATGACCAATTTGCCCGTAACTCAAAATCCTTTACTTCCCGTGGTTGCAAATTTGACTGCGACTCTGTGAGGGAGCATTTTCTCTCTGCCCACTAAATTCACCTCCCGATTATGCCATTTTCTTTTTTGAATACAAATGATGTTTGTGATCTGTGTTAAAAAATCTCTGCTCCTAAATGTGTCCCTATAATCAATTTTACCATCACTGATTTGGCTACAAAAAAACAAGAAATACCAACAATCACCGGGAAGAAGAAATACCAACAATCAATTTTACCATCACTGATTTGCCTGCCCCAATGCTCTGTTTTTTCATCATGTGGTCACAGTGTTAGTCTGTTCTTGCTCAAGTAGATTGTCGGCGGCCTCAACGAGATTGTTGTCTCCTTCAATCTGTGTTCTCGTCATTTGTATCTCCTTTCTCGTCTTTTTTATAAAACCATGTCAATGAAACACCATCTGCAACAACCAATTTATCATACATAAAAAGTTTTAAACAATCAAACCACAAACATAATTCTTTTGAAATAATAACACAAGAAAACAAACCACTCCAAAATCTGTAGTCGTCGTCCCCTGAGTCTGATGCTGGCAGCCCAAACTTAGCGGCATTCCTTTCACGCATATGGCGTACCTCGAGCTCAGATTTCACGAGAATGTGAACTAGGGAATTAGGTACCAAACTACCATCTAAAACTCTAAAAACACCATCTGTTGGCCCTGCCTCAACATATCCAAGAGCTACCATATCCTTTAGAGCATCTGCAGCTAACCTTGCATTTCCTTGACCATAAAGTTCACCTACCAAACATCTACAAGTGTGTGCATCAAGTATTTTTGATCCCTCACCTTGCTCGTTGATTATCAGTTGAACCAAATGCAAGGCATCCTCTACAAATCCATACTCACATAAGGAATCAACTAATTTGTGGAACGTATTATTATCGAGTGTCACACTTTTGTATCTGGACGACGACGACATCATCTCAGTAAACAACCACTTGGCCTTGTCGAATCTTTCTTTAATAAAGGCCTTGTCCATGACAGGGTTAAGCATACAACACTGACGAATCACCATTTTGTATGTGATGGCATCTAGGGTGATGCCTTTATTGAACATTACTGGAATCAAATGGAAAGCCCCATCCAACCAAAACTGTACGCATAGGTATGTAACACACTTGTTGTATTCTGCAGCATCAGGTTTATAAATGAAACTCCCCTTGTCAAATTCCTCTATCAATTTGAAGGCCTTGTCCCACATAAGCTGCCACCAGACAGGATGCTCGTGTTCATCATCCTCCAATCATACAGCCTTATGAGGTGTTCGTGTGTCATTATTAAGAATGTGTCAGCATTGGGTTGAAACAAGTTTTTTTTTGTTAACATGATGAATAAGTCATAAGCATCTTCTTCCAAACCAATGCCAAAGAGACGCTGAATCAAAGCGTTTATCAAAACCGTATCAAGGGCAAAACCCCGCTTGAAGATACCAGCCAACAATGTGGAGGTGAAATCTGTTGTATGGGCATAGCAGCAACTTGGATGCCTAAAAACCTTCAAAGTCATTGACTTTATATACGCATTAGCTGCAGCGTGATGAGGATATTCATCCAAAGGAATGTAAAGCAATGACTGGTAATGAAGAGGTCTACTAGAAGGGTTACCGCTGGCGATTCCACGATGACAAAAAATACCTGGCAGTTTCACCTCAATTATCATCATCAGCATATTTATTGGTGATAGTGATGATGATCTGAAGACAAGGACCCTATTCATCTTCATCAACCACATAAAAATGAACTGATTGCTGCTTTTATTCAACACAAACAAGAAATAAATTAAAAATCAATATAAATGAATAAGGCAAAAGCTAAGATCCCAAGGGGGGCGGACTCCCGCCGAAGCGAATGAAGCAACAGCCAAGCCGCCAAGGGAAGTGAAGGGTGTGTGCTCTGTTTAGAGTTTTCCCCACCTTCCTCTCACCTTTATTCTTTCTTTGGGCCAATTCTGCCTACATCTATTTTTCTTTTCTCTTCCAAGCTTGCGTCAACTTCAATCTATTTAGCCCAATTTGTATATACCTAACAAAAATGAAAATGAAATTTGGGCCCGGTTCGATTGGATTTGATTTGATCTAATTCTTCAGTCTGATTTGATCTTATTGAACCCGATCGGATCTAATTGAATCTGATCAGATACGATTGAATCTAATTTTATCTAATTAGATCTAGTGTAAATGAGTTTAAATTCAATTTTGATTAAACTTAAAATTGTTACAAAATTTATTAGTTTTAAAGCATTACAATTCATATATATATTAAAAAAAAGTAATATAAGAAAATCAGCTAATCATTGATATATTTAAATTTTTTTTAAATATTAAACATCCTTTTTCAATATCACTATTTTTTTAATCTTTGTGAAAACTAAATAATCAGTATTAAAATAACCAAAATTCTTTATATATTATATTTAGGAGTTTAACTCCTAGAATTTTGACATTTGTCATGCTGGCGAAGATTTTTTTTTACACTTCATAAGTCATGTCATCATATTGGACTTACTCAACATTTCAAATGGGTTGGATAATGATTCATTACTTTGGGCTTCTTTTATTTGGGCTACTCTGTGTGGAATTCATCTGCAAGTCTGAATGAAGCGAGACATCAGCGGCACTTTCCTTTGATTGGACCTCCCTGCGATATTCATCTTCGAATGCTGCGAGATTTCAGAGAATATGTGATTGGAATTAATCTCTTTCCTTCTTCACGGTCCTTCTTCACGGAGATTCCAACGATCGGTACCAAGAATATGTAACTTTCTCTTTTCTTAAAAAATCATAATTGTTTTTGGGATGATTGGACTTCTTTCCTTCTTATGATGATTAGTCTCTGCAGAATTTTTTCTTCTTTCGGATTTTCCGGTTCAAATCTCTAGATTTTCTACCCTTATTGCTGTGAGTTTCCTTTTTGCGATTTATATTAGGTCATATATAAATCAAATTTTAAGTAAGCCATTTCATCAATCTATTTTTCATTGTAAGCCGCGTTCATGCCTAAAACCTCTGATCAATTGACATGTCTTCAAAACCGATCCACCCTTTGTTGAAGATCAATCCATCAAGTGAATGCTGAAGAGTTTTGGTTCGTGTGATTCGACTGTACAAGATGCCAGTGTATAATGATGAGAAGATGACGAATGCGATTGAGATGATATTCATGGACGAACATGTAAGAATTGTACTCTTATTCGTATTTTGCATACAATATAAAATTTATGTTTAATAGGATTTCTTATAATTTTTTAGAGGCTGGAAGGTTATTTTGCTTTTACTTTCAAAACACAATTATACTAATCTGTATAAAAAATCAAAATTCTTCAGTTGCCCATATTGAATAAATAAATGAAGAATGATAAGTCTGTTGTTCTTAAAGTATAATGAGTCTGCTTTCCTTGAAGCTTCTATTTTCAGCACCATAAAAAATAATTTTTTTTATTAAAGTACTAAAGAGTTGAGCATGTCCTTATTTTCAGATTTATAGTCTGCTGTTTTTGAACATATTTTATGGTGTGGAGTTTAGTTTTTAATCTCTTGAAGTTTCTCCAGATTCAAAGTATTGAGAAAACAAAACACACTATAGTCTGTTCTGATTCTAAGTATTAAAAAACAAAACACACTATAGTCTATTTAGTTTTTTTAGTGCCTATTCATGTTGAAGTTTCTCCCGTGCCTAAAACCATGAGACTAAATTTTTTTTAATACTGCCTAAGAAGAAATTCTTATAATTTATGTAATAATAACTCTGCCGTTCTTAAAGTGTAATAAGTCTGCTGTCCTTGAATCTTCTATTTTCAGCACCATAAAAACATATTTTTTATTAAAGTATTGACGAGTTGAGTCTGTCCTTATTTTTCAGGCCTTAATTTCAGATTTATAGCCTCCTGTTTTTTTAACATATTTTATGGTGTGGAGTTTAATTTTTATAGTCTCTTGAAGTTTCTCCAGTCCTTAAGTATTGAAAAAACAAATCACACCATAGTCTGTTTACTTTTTATAACTAATACCTGAAAGAGCAATGTTACATTCACAAACAGAATGATCACAAACTCCACAAACTTACTATTTATGATTTAAATTCTCAATTTAAAATTATTTTAAACCATTTAATTTTTTTTATCAAAGTTTACAAATAGTAAATTTGTGATTTTTGTGATGATTGTGTTTGTGAACCAAGCATTTCCCTACCTGAAATGCTAAGAAATATAAATACAAATAATCACCCAAATCAATATCAACACACATAATAAGAATTCAAGAGTCATTGATGTGTAAATTGACGGTCTGCTCTGTGATTTTAAGGCCAACAAATCTCCTATGGATTGTGTAATGGTACAAGATTAATTGTTGACGAGATGCGAAAGAATGTTATTGGTGTTATTGTGGTTTCGAGAAATCGAGTGGACAAAAAAGTTTACATACCCCGGATGAATTTGGTACCGTCTGATCCAGGACTACCTCTAAAGTTCTAGAGAAGATAATTTCCAATAGTCTTATGTTTTGCTATGACTATTAACAAAAGTTAAGGTCAAACATTGTCATTTGTTGGCTTATTTTTAACCAAGTCAGTGTTCACTCATGATCAGCTTTATGTTGTTGTTTCGCAAGTGAAGACAAAGAGAGGATTAAAAATATTAGCCTTAGATGACAATGGAAATCCTTGCAGCCATACAAAAAATGTTGTATACCCTGAAACCTTTCAAAAAATTTGGTATTAAAGCAAACTTTGTTGTGTGTAGATTCAATTTCTCAAATATTATTCTTTTTACTCTGCCTTTCTTTTCTGTGTTATTATAAATCATGCATGAGGTATATTTTCTTTATTCCGGAAAAAAATATTGCATTGAATAAATTCAGAATCGACAAGATATTCGTCCGAACCCGTGCATTGCACGGGTAGGAATACTAGTATTAGAAAATATGGATGCTATTCTATAAATATATCAAATTTTATATGCATATTAGTACTAATATGTAGGGGTGTTCATCAATTCAGGATCGGACCGAACCAAACCAAATCGGGCCGGACCAAAGACCAAAATGGGAAAAAATTAGGACCGAAGACCGGACCTATAATTGTTCGGTTTTAGACTGGACCGGACCAAAATCCCTCAGACCGGACCGGTATGGACTGAAAAGACCGAAAAAACACTAATTATACCCCAAAAAAATACAGTTCATCACAAACCAATGAATCATCATGGGAAATTAGAGATGCATTTGTTATAAACTGAAAAAACTTCATCATGCAATTGTATATAAAAGAATTGCAGTAACTTAGATTCCTTCCAAAATTGAACCAAAAATAACAATTCCTCACAAATCATCATAGGGAATTAGAGATGCAATTGTATCAAACTGATAAAACTTCATCATTCAATTGTATAAAAAAAAGTACAGCATACAATTTTACAAAAAAAACGGTCCTTGGATTACAAACTAGAGAGGAGAAAAGGGATCACATCCTTGATGTAGCATGTCTTTTTGTCTATTATTTAGCCTTAATAGAACAAACCTTTAAAAAATTGGGTGGTTTATTCAAAAGTAAAATTGAAAACTTCCTAATCTGTGAATCGACTATCAAGTAAGAGAGGAAAGGCATCCCACGGAAGTGGATTGTGGGGAATCGGCAGTGATTGCCGACACTGCTGGAGATCGGAGAAGATGAGTGTGGTGGCGACTGGCTAATCGATGACAGCTGCCGAAATTGGTGACGGGTTGAGAAGATGGAGGAAGGTGCGAATCAATCGGGTGGAGAAGGACGAAGAAGATGGAGATTGTGGAATTTCATAACCCTACTATCTTTTTGTCGATTCAATTTGAAGAATCAAAGTACTGAAGAGGACTTTTGAGTGAGAGGGAGAAACGTGACCACAGAGAAGGGAATGAATGGATAGGATAGGGTTGTGGATATTAGGAGGTAATACGTAGTACTACCTCTGTCCCGCTATATTCGTCTACTTTTGACTTTTGAAACTGTTCATCTAAGCATTTTAACTCATCAAATTCTCTCAATGTATAAGCCTAAATATAGTCATGTGTGATCTTATTTGATTTGTTTTAATATATAGATTATTAATATATAATTTCTAAAAGTTTTTAATATGCAAATTACAAGATAAAATGGATTAAAGAAGTGCATTGGATGGTGTGCAAAAATGAAAGTGGACAAATACTCTGGGACGGAGGGAGTAGGTTTTTTCGGTCTCTCGGTCCAGACCTAATGGTAATCCGGTATGGACCTGACCGGACTGAAACCCGAAATCATAAATATTCCGGACCGAAGACCGACCCGATATTAGTTCGGTCCAATTTCGGTCTGGACCTAACGGTCTGATTCGATCGATTTTTTCGGTCTAGACCTAAACATGAACACCCCTACTAATATGCAATACAAATTGAGAATGATTGAATCGTAAAATTTGTCAAAGTTGACTCAAAAAAGTCAAACAAGACAAATACACTGGAACAGAGTTAATAATTGATTAACCATTTTATAGTGAAGAAGACATGTGGTAAATTTTTTTATATAAGGTGCCATTTTGTTACATATGTTCACTTCCAAACTAAATCTATGCTAGATTGCTTCCGAATTACTCCCTCCGTCCATAATTAAAGTTCCCACTTTCCTTTCCGTTCCGTCCATAAATAATGTTCTCATTTTCCTTTTTAGTAGGTTTTCTTTGTTAAAATGACTTAAGTGCCCTTCCTATTTCTTTTTCTTTTTCCTCGTTCCTTACTGCGGCAGCCCCCCCTCCCTTTCTCTTTCTTCTCCTTTCCTTTTCTCCTTTCTTCTTCTCTCCAGAAACTTCACATCCCACCTCTCCTTTTTCTTCCCTTCTTCCGATTTTTTTTCTCTCCTAGGCGAGTGAGGCGCAGCAAACTGTCGGCGACAATTGAATCGGCGGCGGCGTGCTCTGCTCTTCCGTTGCCCGATCTGCGTTTCTTCAGATCCGATCGAAGAAGTTCTGGTTCCGTTGCCCGATCTGCGTTTCTTCAGATCCGATCTAAGAAGTTCTTCCGTTGCCCGATCTGCGTTTCTTCAAATCTTCATCTTCAGATCTTCTTCTACTCTTCCATCACGGTGTGGGACAGCTCGATTTGGGCCTGAAATGAGGCTGGGCAAAATTTTCTCTGGCCGGAAATTTGGGTCGCCGGAATTCTAGCAGGGCCGGTTGGGTTGGGGGCAGTAATGCGGGCAGGATAGGAATGGGTGGGGAAGTGGGGTAAGGTGAAGGGTATTTTGGGAAAGTCAAGGAAATTTTTACATTTCCTTAAAGTGCGTGCCTGGTCAAACCGGGAACTTTAATAATGGACGGAGGGAATACTATATTTTTTCTCCTTTTGATTTTTTTTGCAGTGCGGGAAGAGTTTAATTCACAACTTTGTAAATAGTGAATATGCACTATAATTTTAGATGTAGAGAGTATTGAGGATTCATTATCATTCCAACAAAGGCAAATTATATTCAACTTAAGATATCCTAACGTTAGACCATCGTTTGGAAGGTGAGAAAGAGGAAGGAAAGAAAATGCAAGGAAAACACATAAAACGAAGCATTTTCTGATGTTTGTTTTGGGAAAAATGCTAGGGGTATACCTTGGTGTACCCCATATATCCCCACCCCCCTCCTTGTCTACTTAAAAAGGCAAAAAAAATTTAAAAAATAAGTAAATAAAAATGTGTGGTGGAGAAGGGAAAAATGACAGGTGAAAACTACGCGTAGATCCCACATGAAAACTCCTGTCACTATTTTACTCCTATTCCATCTTTTCAATCTTTTTTCACACCATTTTCCAACAATCAAACCATCAACTTTTTTTCTCATCATTTTCCGAACAAAGGGTCGGAAGGATGGAATCGAACAAATTGTTGGGGAGTTCTAAGTTTTTGTTAAATTTATTCCCTCTCTAATTAATTATAATACCAGATTTATATTACATAGTTTGAGCAAACATGCTCTGGTTGGTCCAGAATTCATTCATGAAAAAGTTCCATAAAACCAGTGACGATAAAAAAATTATTTTAACAAATAATTAATGAAGTACATTTTTTAAGGCTCGAGGGAGTACCAGTATTAAATTTTACCTACCTGGATCCGGAGTGTGGAATATGGTACCCTGTAATAGTTTGGAGTCTAGATAACTGGAACAAATTGAAGAATAAAAAAAAAAGACTACTTCCAAATGACAATAGTGTAGGGACTAATATATACACTGTTGTTGAAAATGTTGGCCAAATATTATGAACAACAACCATAGCCATTGAAGATAAAAGAGGTTTACAACACACACACCCACGCCCAAGTTATGAAAAACACGATATTCACCACCGGCAAATTCCGGGCACCTCCGTTCTCAGAAGACTCACTATCTCTTCGTACTTTGATGCGTACACGAAACCCCACAGCTGCAGCATTTCAAATATAGACGCACAAACATTATGGTACGACTGAAAGTACGAATATACCCTTAAATCAAGTAAAATTGCCTATCCAATGAGGGGGTTTTATGGTTTGGAAGAGATTGGGAGGAGGGGGGGGGGGGTAGTGAAGCAATAATCTTGCAGGATGTCAAGTATAGCACACTCTTTCTTTAAAAAAAAACTTGGTTGAGATGAGAAAGGTGAAGTCTCAATTAAAGTCTCCTAGTGAGAATGAGGTCACTCCCAATTTTGGTCCCCAACTTTCATTTTTGTTCAACTTTGGGCATTATTACAGATCGATCGCCACTTTCGGTCCAATTCCGTCACTTAGCCCACAAAGGAAATTGGCAGGATAAGTGACCAGGATGATTAAATGTGGCAAAAGATACATATATAGTTAAAGACTAAGAGTGAATAAAATAAAATAAAAAATAAAAAATAAAAATTGAGAACCAACAAAAGTAGGACAAAAAGTAGGAAAATTCTTTCAGTTAATACCTCAACCTCCTTCACGACGAAATCTTCAGTGGATGACAAGCACGGATTTCCATATGTTTCAGAAGCGGCACTTGATCCCGTCATGCTGTAAACAACTCATTTATGCATTGAAAAGAAAAAAACAATCTCCACAAAGATAAAGGATACAAGGTCTCATTGACAAGATAAAAATCTTACAGATCCCCGTCCAAGTAAAGCGCGAAATGACCACCGCCACCCAATGCTAAGTACTCGGTGGAGCACATAGTATAATAGCGATTCACACCTGCATATGATGAAGCATGCTGTTAGTTTAATATAACTAAAAACTCCTCTCAGAATATTGTCATGATCCATGAAATTGAAAAGTACTCGTATTATACTCCTACGTATAAATTATACCAATAAACTGCATCTTAAACAAGAAATGCAACAATTTCTAGCCACTATGCTTTTTGCAGGAATTTATAGTGCTTATTAATTTACATTATAAACTTAACGCCACTAAAGCCAACTAGTTAGGATTGAGGTGGGGATGATGATGATTATATATGGAAATTAGTTCTCCATTTATATTCTCAAAATTTAAATAAAAATAAACTTATAGATGTTGAACAAATGAAATCTTCTATATTAAGGAGTATTATTTAAAGTACCTAATAGAAACTAAATAGTACTCGGAAATTTATTTGGAGGGTAGTCCTGTAAATGTGATTGCTGGATGGAAAAAGGCATGAAAGCAATACCTGTAGGACGAAATATAATAGGATGTCCAGATACATTTGTGAACACAAAAGAAGCGTTTGTTCCCTGTTTATATATGAGCACCAAAGATCAAAAGAGAAGCTATAGTAACACGTTAAATAGTCACATACTATAAGAGGACTAAAGTCAATGTCCTTTTCAGCCATTACCTGATATCTTCTCTTAGTTGTTGCCCTTAGGGGTGCTTCAACGAGCCCTCCAAATACCGTGCCATCACGGTCTCCTACAACCTAAACATTTGAAATCATGCAAGAGATGGAGAAAATTATCAGAAGGGATATTTCCATCTCTACCTAGCCTGAGCTACGGTCAGATTATTGAATGCCTCTATAAGTTTCTAAAAACTACAAATAAGCTCATTGACTAATCAGATTGTCTGCGAACAATGAATGATGACATGGTATAATGAGAGTAGTAAGGAAATGAGTTTGTAAGAGTAAATTTCCCTCAGTATTTGCTCCAAATATCCTTTTGGAGAAGAAAAGTTTGACGACTATAGTAGATAAAAGCATTAAGGAACACCAAATTCAATGTGAAGATACACAATTCTCATTAATATCATACTGGGGGTATTATTTTAGTATCTAATGACATTCACAATAAATCTAACTAGTCAATGGGCTTATTTGCAATTTTCAGACATAGAGGGTCATTAGCTTACTTGATCAAACCTCACTTCTGATCTTTGACCAGCATTATGTTGCTTCTAATTATCAGTGTTAATGAACATTTCAACGGTAACTATAAGTCTATAATTCCCATGCCTGAAACAGGAGAATGTAACGCACTCTATTACAGATCAAATAAGAACAATACCAAAAGACTGAGGCCCGGCCATAGCATGCTTCTTCTGTACAAAGTTGAAAGTGATATGCCATTCCTCCATGTACTGAACCAAAACAAGAAGAAAAAAAATAAAACCCTACATGAGGATGACAAAAGAAAAACAGGGATGCATGCAGATTATTTAAGAAAAAAAGAGTACATTTCATTTTTTGTCCCTTAGTTGCAACTTTAGAAATTCTAGTCCCTAGATAATTCTGGCAAAGATTATCCTGGTTGAAAGGGAGGAGAGAAATGGTAGTGAAAGGGAGTGTTTCTCTTGTCGGACTTTGGAGAGAGCAAAGAACATATGGAGAAATTAAAAGTGAGGGAACCACCGCTTTTTGGAGTGAGTCTCTTCGATTGTGGGAAGTATTTTTTTTATAATTTCCATGTTAATCCTCTTTTTTTTGTTAAAAATCAAAGTTAATTTTATCATTTTAAAATAAAAAAGTTGTTTCTCTCCTGTTTTCCCTTGTTTCTCTTCTGCCAAATAATACACAAAATCTACCATTCATCTCACCTTTTTATATCTCCTCACAATCTTTGTTCTCTTTTCATTTCTTTTATGTTTCTCTAGTCCACCAAACAGAGTATTTGCAACAGCCTTAGTCAATAACTGTAGCAATTTTATTCCATGCCGTTAAGAGGGAGGACTAAAATTGCCACCGAGAGATATTAATAGGGATGATTTTTAGCAAAAGTTAACAATGTGAGGCTAAAATAGCATCACTTATGAGCTTAAAAAAAAAAAGAAACAATTAATAAATCATACCTGTATAGCATCACCCAATTCCGGTCCTTAACAATGACAGGAAGTGCAGCATAAAGAGCCATTCGTGTCTTCTCTGAGAGAAGATATGAGGGTTCAGAGATTTCAGGAAGACTGCTCAACGGTCCTCCCTCTGTCATATTTTTCATAATCATCCCCTCCTCATCTCTATCGCCTTTGGAATTACCTTTGTCTTCAATCACCCCCGTCTCATCAGAATTTCCCTTATTTTGGGACCCTCCCAACCTAGCAAATTGGTAAAAGGCTCTCCCTATTGTATGTTTTCCCCTTGAGAGTATACCTCTCCTTCTGGTAGGTTCCTTCACTTGTGGTTCAGATGGCTCGGCTTCATTATCATCCTTCTCATTGTTTCCTTTTACACTAGAGTGGGTCCCAGATTTTGTATTTAAGAGTAGGGAATACAGGAAGGCTGTAAATGATGATGTATCTGGACCGCCAGATATATCCCGGGGACCCTCCTCGTCTGACTCTGGTTTACTTTTCTCAGAGTCTGATGATCTATCTTCCTATAACACCAAAACCCATACGTACACATACGATCATCAATTAAGCATGTTCTCAATAGGGTCCATTTATCAACTCTTTGATTTTATTTTTAAGAAGTGTCTTAAGTTAAAGGACAAAAACAAAAAAAATGCAAGCCATATGTTAATTTAGTTTTGTTTTGGTAATGTTTTATCCCAGAACACCTCCAAACTCTTTGATCATCAAACACATGTTAATCCTCATTTTTGTATATCCAAATTATCCCGAACCAAACGCTAAAGTTTGGTAATGGTGAGAGAGTGAGTGAGTGACAGAGCATTCCTCCAGACAAGATAAACACCAGACAGTCAGATATTCAATTACATAAAACGTTGAAGTCAAAATGGTGAGAATATTCTTCTTTGGAGACTGTGTGTGTGTGTTTCTCTTTTCATTGGGCCATTTCTCAACTATTTCATTTTCTTTACTTTTTTGCGGTAAAGCTGAATCTCTATAGAGAATACTCTTTTTTAGGGGTGATAAAAATAGTGTAAACTGTTGGAGTGAAAATGGTGATAAGTATTGTTGGATTGGATGTTTACACAATTTCAGCATTAAAATTGGTGTTAAGCAAAGGGTTGGAGATAACCTAATCGGAAGTAAAAATTAAAATTAGCAAAAATGATCAAACCAGGAAAGGAAAAAAATGGAATAAAAAAGAAATCCAATCCAGCAAGGTACAGGAATATATTCAAACCCCTAGAATGCAAAAAAAGGAAAGTTGATTCTTACAGTTAATGGGGGCGGCCCGGGTTTGCGCAAGGAATCGGAGATAGGGTTGAAGATAACGGTGGTAAGATCAGATACGAAGAGAGCTGCTTTACTCTTCAACGATCGATTCTTCTTCTGCTGCTGCAACTGTTGATCAGGCGGCCGCTTTTCTTCTTCTTCTGCTTCTGCTTCTTCTTCTTCCACTTCACTGCCCATTTTCGAGCTTCGATTCCGAGTCTGAATCAGTGATAATCCATACAACTGTTGCTACTCTGTTCGCGATCAGATTTCCTCGCCGATTTCGACGCCGGGACTGATCATTTACCTCCAGAATTCCCCTTTCGTTACCGGTTTTCCTTTGGAATTAACAAGAAGTAGCCAAGAATCGGCGGAGATGGGGATGAAATTCGAGTAGTTATTCTGATTCAATTCATTTCCCTTTGTTTCAGTTGGATTAGTCTTCCCACAAAAGGATAGTGTCATCAATTTCTTGCTTGTTTTGTTCGCCTTCGCCATTACCAATTTCTCCCCTTATTAATTTTTGAAACCTTCAATTTTTTTTTAAAAAAAAAAATCGTCCCTCACTTCTTATTTAAATCACATGTTATTGTTTAAGAGATTCGACTTATTATTTTTGAAGGAAAAAAAAATCTAAAGTATGAATAAACATTAAAAACAATTTAAAACAGAAATTATATACTCCGTATTTTTATTCTCGAAATAGGAGTTAAAATGCATATACATGATCATATACATTACCAAACACTATTGTGAAATATCCATATATATATAGTGTCACATTACCACAGTACAAACTCGTATTTCTTCTATTTTAATACATTTTCTATGTTGTACTCTTATTTGGAGTGATTTCTTTATTTTCAATTCAATTTCTTTGAATATTGGTATGAAATTTAGAGAATAAAATTTATATATTTAAAAATTATAGTAGATGTTCTACAAAATAAGAAATGACAATACTATATTATTTTTCTTAAATGGGTAGCAAAGATGGGTAAAGAGCGTAGTTAAAAATTGACTATATGAATAATAAACAGACTATTTAAATTGGGAAAGAGAGGGTATAAAACAAAAATCACTCCAAGAAGTAAGAAGAAAGAAATTTTATGAAAGTCTATATTGTACATCTAGGTATACCTAGAATTAGGTATACCCAGCAAATGTTTAAAAAAATGAGTACCATTCTCGAAGGTCACCTTAGATCCGACCAAGCAATCACTCAGAAGAAGTAAATTAGATTTTAATCGGAGATTGATAATAATGAGTAGATCCTGGACCTGATAGTTGCAGAGGCCATGTGCTTATCATAGTCTTACCTCATTGGCATTGCTTGTCTTGCCAACTGCGCAACTCCCACCGACACCCAGCATATGTCCATTATGCAGCAACGTAGCATCCATTGCGAAATAACTTAGTGTTCATTTTTACATAGTTATATATTTATAATATTCATTTGCAAACAATGTATTGTTAATTTCAAACATGATCAACATATTGAAACAACATAATTTTCAAAAAAATTTTATAATTACGAGTTTACTATAATGTACACTACATGAAGCTCTACCATATAATTTGCCAAATTTTATGAACCACATATACTCTTGCTTAGAACGGACGATATCTTTTTAAGGATGAGCAAATAGAAAAGAGTGAGGCCCCGTTTGGTACACGGAATTCAAACTGTGAAATTGGAATTGAAGTCTTCAATTCCAATTCAGGTGTTTGGTAGCACAAAAATTATGTGGATTTGGAATTGATAGTGCAAAAAATGAATTGAAATTGGTGAATTCAATTATATGGAATTGAATCTCATAGAATTTCAATTTCAATTCAATTCCAATTCCCTCAATTCCATATATCAAACGGATCCTGAATGTTTTTACTTTTTTATTATTTAGGAGGCATACATTTATAGAAGTCCGTATATATTAGTAATTGTTAAAATAATATATTTGGCCGATCAAATAAGAAGAAAATTTACTGACAGATGGAGTAATCGTTTTCTTTTCCCGTTTTTTTTCGCTTGTTGAGCACTAGAAGTATATTATATTTTTATTAATCATTGAACAAATTAAAATAGTCATTATATCACTTATTTTATAAAAATTTTGATTTGTTCGAAATATATAAATTGTAGATCGTAATTTTAATATTCTACATCATTTGTCACACAAATTCAATTAAAAATAACTCTAATCAAACGTTGTATGCTGAATCACAGATATTTTTGCGGAGAGGAAGCATTTCTAATCTCATTCTCTTCCATTTTTTGTTTGAGTGTAATTTTTTATATTGGCAAAGAGTTGTAACTAACTAATATTCTCTCCGTCCTAAATTAAGTTGATTGGTTAATATTTACAGAGTTAAACTACATCCATTTTTTTCCTTATTTTCCATACTCATTTGATAAAATAATATATTCATGTCACCTATTATTTTTATAAAGCTTTTGGTTTGGTTTTTTTAATATGTACATCAAAGAAGAGGGTTTACACACCTAAATTGGGATTACACACTTAAATTTAGCCAGATTTCTTGCAATTGACCAAGATTGTGCTTTGTGTGGCCAAGATAAGGAAACAGATAGACACCTTATTTGGGAGTGTGGAGAAGCTCAAAGAATCTCACAAACATGCTTCTCTAGGTTTTGCCATCAGCAGATGGTTATGACCAGCTACCAGGACTTGGAGAACAAAATACAAACAGCAGTTTTGAGGAGGAATAAGCAGCAAATTAAGGCAATCTGGACTGGATCAAGAGAGTGATGTAACAATCTCAAAGCTTGTAAATTCTGAATAGTTTGAACTGCAATGAAAAGTTATGATTTTGTGCAAAAAAAAAGTTTATTTTTTAATTCTGCCCCAATTCTCTAATAAATTATATTAAAATTAACTTCAACCAAATATTGTGCACCGAAACAAGCGATTTAAATTAGGACAGAGAGAGTAACACACTTCATCATTTGGCTCTGTTAGACACAAGTGCATGGTAAAGGGCGTTGGTTGTCCAATACCCATGAAAAAGGTGTCTGTTTGATTGAAAACGAGACGGAAAAAAGAGAAAAGGATTTCCCCCCACTTTGTTATTAAATTCTGGAGGAGAGTGGACCCAAAGTCGGCCCCTCCATTCCCTCCCCTAATATCCATTTCCTCAACATTCGCGTTTTTTTTAAAAAACTAAAATATCGGTGAGGCTCCCATGACATTGGAATCGCATGTCATGGAATGACCCGGGACACTCTGGTGCTCCATTCGTAAAATTCACAGTTTCTACCCTTCCTAACCCACCCGAGAGCGCCCCCGGGTCATTCATGACATTGCTGGGAATGTCACGTGAACCATCCCGCTAAAATATACTTTCTCCATCCAAAATTACCCTATCTTTTTATATAGGTTCAAACTTTATTCACTTTTGTAATACTTATTTTTGTTATTTTTTTGATAAAATAATATAGTACTACGAAATATCATCTCTTATTTCGTAGAATTTTTTATTTAGTTTTTAAATATGTAACTTTTATTTTTTAATTTCATCCAAATTCACAAATAAATCAAATTAGATATAACTTCAGTCAAACATCATAAATCAAAATAGACAATTCAATTTGAGACAAATGGAGCATATTACTCTTATCAATCTCTTCATAGGGTATAACGTTTTTTGAAAAAAAAAAATTATGCATATAAAATATAATAATAAATTGATCATTACCTTCCCTTCTATTTTAAACTGAACACAAGAATATTTATTTCTTTCCCCTTATATTCCTTTCATTCCTTTCCATCTTTCCCCTCACATCCTCTCGTATCGAACTAAACAGACCCTAAGGGAGGGAGGAGTGTGGTGGGGTTGGGGGTACCCCATTCCGGACTCAATGAAGCGCCGTAGACCTCCAAATTGGCCCGGTGTCAGGTGTCATCCTAACATCAGTGTCAACAAAAATTGTACGAGTAATGTATATTAGTATAAAGTTGATTTTGTTAGATTTATCTTGTTGAGAACTTTCAAAATTTTATTCCATCGTACAAATATGCAATACAAATTGAAAATAATTGAAGCTCAAAGTTTGTCCAATTTGTCGAAAAAGTCAAACTGGACAAATTACTGGGACGGAGGTAGTATTTTGGATGAGCTAAAACAGGATTCCCATTCAGACCCAAATTTCAGAAGTCCTGTACACATATTAGGATACCTCAATTCAAACGGTTCCATACCACCGACTCAGGTCCGTCATACTACTGGAGCCTATAAAGCAAAGCATGACATGAAAAATCTCGAAACCCGACAGTGAAAGAAATGAGTAACAAAGCACACACTAGGAAAGAAATGCACAATAAGGACCAATGTCATCTCTTTTTTTATTTGAATCATTAGGAAAGGTGATTTAGGACATAATAGACATGGAAATGTTTTTCAAAAAGCATGCAATGGTAAACAAAGGATGACGAGTAATACCGTTCGGAAGAAATGATCAATCATTCAGGAAGAAAAAGTCACCTGTGTAGTCAACGACGATTCTCATTGTGCGAGTTTGCAAATGTCTTCATAGTCAATAGCCTTGAGAACCTTCCCATCATATATACCTTTCTCAATTTTCAGCTTGGCGGAGAAATTGTCTGTATCAATGGCTAGCAGCCTTGCATTTGATCCACGATAAGCCCCGTTAACTATCCTCACAAGACCGCCGATTTGGGGGATTACAGTTTCAAGCTCTTCCTGGTCAACTCTCAAGACATGCTTCTTTTCAAGGGTTTCAATTTCGCCAACATACTTGTCGATTACCCTCCTAACAACACCTTTTTGCTTATAATATCCCTTATGAGCTAAGGCCTTGCTCATAACCTTCACGACTATTCCCTCACATAACCAATAATCCTTCCGATTATGTCGTTCCTTTGCCTCTTCTTGCTCTCTCATCAGCTCATCCAACAGCCCACCACCCTTATCCCCCAACTTTGCTACAGTATCTCTTCCACTTTTCTTCCGAGACTTATCCATCACATCAAAAACAGATCTTGAGGAGCTATCGGGTCTGTATTTATCATTGGGTGGTTTTGATGATGAGCCCAGAGACAACTTCACTTTCTGATCATCACCCTCCAACCTTCCCGGTATCAAGATCTGCTCAGAATCTTCGCTATTCGTCAACAACTGTTCTGCCCGCTCCCTCTGTCTCTTAATTGCCCTCTCCTGCTTCTCTTCCTCTGCAATATCAGCCTTCTTCCGCTTGTTTTTCATCTTCTCCTTGAAAAGGGTCTCGGAGTCTCTATCTATGTAAGTAATAAACCACCCCTTTGGAGTCTCATCAACTTTACACTTCCCAGTCCTGCCTAAATACTTGACAAACTCAGTCAGAGTTGCCCACTCGGTGGAATTCATATGAATGTGATGGCGATCAGCAATGTACTCATTGTACACAACCGTGGCAGCCACACGGCTAAAGCGGTGGCTGCGCTTCATGTGCTCAAGAAATGCACTCTCAAACTCCTCAGAGTAGCCACTGACAATCCGGTTAGGGTTTTGCCCAAACACCTCCATCTGGCGCTGGTGGGATTCACTCATACAGTGGCACTTGAACCCATTCTCGTCTCGGCATTGCTTCTCGCACATCTGGCAATACCATCGCAGCTTCTGCAGCCCTTTAGCTTTAATTCTGTTCGCGATGGCTTTGGGGGTCAAGAAATCATTTTTCCCCATCTTGTGTGGTTATGCAATAACAAACACCTCACAGGGTGGTGATATATTAATGTATCTGTGTCAGATGCGCGTAAAACAGAATAAAGTTCATAAATGGCTTTGCTACCTGTTATAGATAGAGATAAGCAAAAAAATTGTACTCAGAATTCAGAATAATTGCATGTGTTGGTGTGTGTGCAATGTGCATACGTGCTTAACATAAATCAATGCTAGGTAATATCATTCTGCATAAACATAAGCTCATTCAATGTCAGGATGTTAGGTAGTATCAGTATGCATAGGCATCAAAACACCACATGGACCATCCAGATTCAGCCTCAACCAACGGTCAATGTCCCAATAATATACAAAAAACAACGTTTTAAAAACTAGAACAGCAAAGATATATAAAGGAATTCGAATTTTGTTAACTTAGGGTAAGAATTATTCGAAAGTCTTTGGATTACATGCCATTGTAAATCTAGAATATCCACAAACCGATAGAGTTTTTCGATTGCATGCATTTATACAATTACAATTTGATCAGACCAGATCAGAACTTATTCCATTCTGATCAGAACCAATTAGATCACGTGGAGAGAACAAGTCTTAAGCCCTTCACAACTGACGGAAGGCGTGGTGTCACGAAGGAGTCTAGTGACGACAATGGAGGGGTGACACCATGGGGACGGAAGATCCAAAGAGTGAAATGCTAATAGGCTTGGAGAATCTTCCAAACAGAGATTGAGAGGGTTGTATTCAATTCATATCTTAAAAAAGGGCCGGCCCCGAGGATTCGACGGCCTTGCACGAACGAGACTATTTCCTATAACATTAATTAGCTATTTATTTTTGTTCCTGTAATCGCTTGATTGTTTGTACTTGGATAGTTTTTAATACTCCAATTTTAGTAAAAAGGATTTGTTTAGAGCCTAAATGTCTATGAATTGTTCCAACATTAAAAATTGATTACAAAATCGATTAAAATAATTAAAAATCATGCAATTAAAATAAAAAATGCTAACCCTAAGAACTAAAACAATTGACTACAAGTAGCAAAATCCTAACCCTAACAACGTCTGATTACCAAAACCAATAGCACAAAGAACAATTGAACAGCATAAACACAAAGCAAGTCTGTAAGGCGATAGAAAAATCCAATGGTGGGCGAGAAACGAGAAATTCGAATCTCGGAGACTTGTTCTGGATTCGGAATTAGGGGTTTCGAATCATACCTAGCGCAATGGAGACGACGGTGGACGATAAGGGAGACGCGGATTATCGATTTTGGGGAAGACGAACCCGGCTATATGCTGCTGAAGATGTATTTGTTTCTCGATTTATACCGGCATCATAATCCATTGCCATCCATTCTTTTTAAATTGATTGGATTTCCAATCGGAGTTGTGTTTCAATGCTTTTAAAAGGTTCAAATGTAAAAAGAGTAGACCTTAAAATTACCTAAGAATTTATTTTTGGATAATACTAGCTCATTTCAATTTTTTTTTTGAAATACTCATTTCAAAATTTAATGTTACACTACCATAGTAAAATGGATTTATTTTTAACTTAATTTATTTGAAAATATATGAAAATTTAAAAAACATATGCGTTCGAAAATATTCTTTATGCGTTCGAAAATATTTTCTCAATCACCTTATTAACTTACTTTTTAAGGCTAAATATCAAAAGAAATCAACCTAAATAGAAGTAAAAACATATGAACGTACCAAAATTAGAGTTTCATGTTTTTATTCCCTAAATAGAAGTTCACACTATGGTAATGTGGTATTGTACATATAGATATTATTATATTTTTTGGTAATTTACGTGGGAATGATTGGTAATGTAAATGCATTTTCAGTCCTATTTTGAGAATAAAAACATAAATTTTCTATTTTGGTATATTTTCAATGTTTTACTCATATTTTCATCTTTTTTCCAAATATCAATAGGATCCTTCCACCTTAACTCACACCCACCCAATTTAATTCACCCCTAGATTAAAGTAGGGGTATTCTTGGAAGTTTGCTACCCATTTTTCAACTCCTAAATAGATGTGTGATATCAATACGGTAAGAACATTTTCGGATAGAGAAAATACTAATTAAAAAAAGTTACCTGACTGTAAAAGTACTCCATTTGTTCGAAAAAATCTTTCTGGTTTTGATTTTTAAAAGATCTAAGAAAAGTGCATTTTGGTCGTGATTTTTTTCAAAAATGTTGTTAAATGTGATGGATAAAAGTAGGATGTGATGAATAGATTAATAGTGAAAAAATGTCATTTGATAGGTAGATTAAGAGTTAGTATGAGTAAAAAGTGACTTTTTTATAGAAATGTAAAAAAAAATTTGGGACGGATAAAAAATAAAAGAAAGTTTTTGTTGGACGGAGAGAATATTAAACAAGGCGGGTAATAGTAGTAGTCGAAGATAAAATTTGGCAACATCGAGCCTAGGGTTGGAGGGAACTGAATAACTAAGCAAGTCCCTCCAAGGATGGCAAACATCCCTAAGCACACGTGAAAGGAAATATTTGTCCTGTGGTAGCTCAACTAGTCTAATGAGAGGATGTCAAGCCTGTTAATCATAGGGTCGAATATAAAAAGTTGTACATAAATTATACAACAAAGATGTCCAATTCTATTTCGTGCTAGTGTAATATATGTGTCATAGTTTACATTAGTACAAAATGTGAGTGCACAAGGTTTTGATTGCACTAAGAATTTTTGCCACTGTGAATGCCAGGAGACTTTCAAAAATATGAACAAATCCTAACAAGTTCTGATTGATAACATAAGTACAGAGGCATGCCCTTCTATCAACACAATTCAGTGGTGAATTAACTTTAAACGAGTAATTACTCTATCCGTCCAAATTTAAATTAATCATTTTAATTTATGATGTTTAACTAAAATTATTTTTATTCATTCATATGAAAATCATATGCAAATTTGAACTTAAAAATAAAATTTATATATTTAAAAACTATATTTAAAGCACTATAAGACAAGAAGTAACATGATCAAACTTAACTCATTTTGTTTACTTATATTTACTTATCATTTCATAAAATAATAGTGTTATTGCCTCTTGTTTTATAAAAATTTTCATGTATTTTTTTACTATATAAGTTTTACTTTTAAATTTTACACGTACAATCAAATAAATTAAATTGAATTATTAAAATTAAAGTCAGTCAAACCTCATAACACGTAATGAAAAAACTAAGAAGCAAAGAGGGAGAATGAAACAAATGCTAAAAATAAGTGATAAAAACAATTAAAGTTTAACTATGTGAACAATGAATAGACAATATAAATGTGGTCTGAAGAAATAATAGTTACTTATTAGAAAAATAAAAACACAGCCTTACATAATGTAATTGCTTTACTTCTATTTCAATATTTTCACTACTTCAGAATATACATTATCCTCAAACATACACTCTCTCAAATCGATACTTTGACTTCACGAAATTCAAAAAATACATTGAAACTGTATTATTGAATTTGCTCTAAAAAGTAAAAAATGTTTCCGAGTCACGCTACCCATCAACAAGAAATAATGTACGGAGTAAGATTTATCCTATAACAAACGAAAAATTTAAGTGAAGAAGTTCTTCTCGGGACAAAGGGAGTAGAAAATTTTTATACTGTATTTTTTATTATTATTATGAAGTTAGAAAAAGTAAAATACTATACAAATAGGTCTCATTCAATTCCAAATCTGGAATTTGATCATCACAAAGAAGAGAGAAAGAAACATTTATACACTGTATTCACCAACATGCATCCACTTAGTAGATGACCATTTATTTCCTCTTATCACTGGACAACCACCTGGAGTAAACAAAAAGCCAGAATTGCTTTTAAAAAACCAGTGATAATGAGACTTTTCCATCAATGGAAGTTCTTCAAAACTGGCTTTTGTATTTCCACTTTGGTTCTTTTGACATTGGCATATAAAGACCATTTCATAATCTTATTATGATGGGTATCCACAGATCTTTTTCATTCTCAACCGCAATTGTTTCGCACTCTTTTGGTTGAGTTAGTGAGTCTGCTTCAATGCATCTGTAGTGCAAGAAGTGGAAAGGGAAAATGTTCTTACCGTGCAAACTTAAGGGATCCAAAGTCACATCGGGCCTCATGCTCCAAAAGAGTAGGGCATCCCCCATCTTTGGTTTCACAGAGAGACCCCTTTTAGCACATTCCGACATCTCGCTCCACCCAGGAAGAGAGCTGAAATTGCCTTTTGCTGAAGGGAAAACCGTCTCACCCCCTTCTTCAACATCTGACCTGCGCAAGTCCCAACATGTGAAATGAATTGCCATAGACAAAGCATTAAAAAAATATCATCTAAAATGTATATGGATATGGTTCACAGACAATATTGGAAAGTGATGTTTTCAATGCTTCTGGAAAACTCTACAAAAAAACTTTTTTAAAAAACTGTTTCTTGTTAAAGAAACAGTGGGATGCTTCTCATTTTCCATTACTTCCATTTCCACGCAGCATAAGAATATGTTACAAAGCTGCCAGACTTCAAATGCTATTAATTGCTTCAACAAGTGTTAGAAATAACACCGCAAATGATGACTTACAAATACATGAGTAGAGTAGCTATGCGTTGTCCCCCATTCTTCGTGTTGAACTCATCGAGGAAATAATCAAAATGAGGCTCATACTTTTGTCCAACCTCATAGTGGAGAACTTGCAGCCCTTCACCGTTCTCTGAGTCAGTCATATTACGGACATTAGAGAAGGCATAGCAAAGTGCGTCAACTAAATCATTTAAATTGACACCAAACAACTAATGTAAACTAGAAAAGGATATGAAACTCCCAACAATATTGAGGTCAGTGGAATAAAAGCTACTATAATTCCAAACAATTGCAAATTTAGGAAACAATGTAGATTATGGGGTACCCGTACAATTGAGTGGCTCTGGGCCCTTAATTAAGTTTGTGCAATTAATGTATAAGTCATAAAAAACAAATTACATCTTTCTCCTATAGTTAAGATATCCATGAATAAGGCAATGACTTTTGGAGTACAATGAAAACTTCAAAGTAAAAAAGACATTTGCATTGAACAGGAAGCAAAATAAAAATTTCAATCTCTTCTTTTTCTTCAACCATCTTTGATTCCATTGATATCATAGGCAACCGATTGAGTTTAATCGTCTCATTGAGTCAGGTTGAATTAACCCAACAATGTCAATTGCCTTGAACACATTGAGTATTTACATAAGAGATTAGAATCAACTCCCTTCGTCAAAGAGAGCATTCGTCATCCTAGAGGCTAGAGCATTCATCTAGTTTGACTTTTTTTGGTTAAACTAGATTAACTTTGATCATCAATCAAAGCATAGAATTGTGACCCAAAAACTCATAACATTTCTTGCTTAACAAACGGAATCAGAATCCATAAAAGTGTGAGGTGCTTGCTGCTGAGATTACTGCATGGGAATAAAAGTACAATTACTGTTGTATGGCAATCACGTGTCATACCAACAGGGATGAATGTATAATCTGCTATCCTTTTTTCGATGCTTTTAACCACTTGATCCCTTCCCCTCCTTAAAAACATTCCTGAACTTGTGCGAACCCTGAAATGAGAATTTATTTGTGCCATATTCAATATCAGGCTGAAAGAGGAAAACCAAAATAGTAATAACGGGATTTGAGGTACGATCATTGCAGACCTGCTGTCCTTACTTTTGCCAGTTTTGCTATCTACAACACTTGACTTTGCCATGTGCGGCCTGGCTAAATTTATTAAGTACTCACATTCTTCTTTGGACTGTTAAAACATAAAGACATAAAGGACGATCAAAATTAATCATCTGTGTTGCTCACTCAACGTGCTTTAAGTAAGATTATGTTATAATGGCAACAGTGAATCCAAGAAAAAATTCAATAATGAAACTATCAGAATTAGAGAATCAAATCAACCCTATTACTGTACAAATAATATAAATTGAATCATTAGTATCCAAACAGTAACACTCTATTGTCCATACTACGAGTTCCTACGTTTCGTATGCTATACATCCCGATTTGCGATGTTTACTTACATCCAACATATTCACAATTACAAGTTAAACAATATCCATTTCAAACAGTTGTATATTTGCATATACTTAGAACACGCAGCCATGAACTTTATCAAATCGATGTATGTGCATTTAGTAATTGCACAATGCTCTTTTTTGTTGCTAAAAGTTTTTTTTTCATTTGGTTGCTAATAAGAAATCCAATCCATTAAAGAATAAGAACAAAATCTTGAAAATGAACTTGCAGAAAAATGCATATATATCTTTTGTACATGCTCATAGCATTCACCTTATAAGACTAGTTATAAACAAAAATAGATATATCCAAATGTACGGTATAATTTGCCCAATAATACTATTCAAAAATGAATAAAAGTACAAATCAAATGCTTTGAAATGTTCAATTCAGCATGAGCGAACTCCATCAATGAACAAATTTTCTGGATACGCTTATGAAGATAATGCGAAGAAAAACAGAAACTAACCAAGAAATTGTGGAAAACGAAAGCCCTAGGCTCCCAAGAGAGAATCTCAGTCCATTGTTCTCCTCTCTTCCCGAGACCATCCTCCTCCCCTCTGCATCAAAACTCGCCGACGATTAGATACCATCGACGGCTACATACTTCGATTCTTATGTGTAAATACGAAACGATCAGTACAGATCTATGGCTGTGCGCTTGAATCTGATGCGGCTCGGGATGGATGAGGATTCGCCGTCAGATCCGATAGGAACGTTGAGAATTCCCAGAGCTAGAAGCATCAGAAGAACAAGCGTAATCATGAGAAGCATGGAGAGCACCAGAGACACTGTAGAGGTTCTTCTCCATTGGTGCCTGCTCGCCTTTGGCTTCGCCATTGTCAAATGTCAACCCGCTCGTCAGTCGTCTCTGTTTAATGTTTATGCGTTTATTTTGGTAGCGGAGGATTTCCAAAACTTCAAAAGATTTCCCACTAACTTTTTACCGGATCAAACTTTAATTATATTCTTTATCTATTTGTATTAGGTATTTGATAAAATAATATAGTATTATCATCGCTTGTTTTGTAGAACTTTTGATTTAGTTTTTAAATATATAAATTTTATTTTTTAATTTTACATCTACAATCAAATAAATTGAATTGAAAATAAAGTCGGTTAAAACTCGTAAAATGAACCGGGAAGAACATTATAGGAAGGAGAGAGTATATGAGTAGACTAGTCAAACTAAAAAAATGATTCAATTTCTTTTTAACAAGAAATTTGATTTGAAAATATAGGTTTTGAACAAATATTTTATTGATCGAATCCGAAATAATCTGTTTAAAATATGTCAAACCAGATCAGATTCAAATCTGAACTGACCGACCCGCTAATATAAGAATTTTTCAAAATCATATACGAGCACTTAATTATGAAATATAATGTTATAAATATAAGATTATAATTGAGTAAATTCTATAAAAAAGTCTCCAGTTATAGGTCGTTTTACATATTTAGTCCATACCTATCAAATATTATTAATCTAGTTTCTAATTATTATATTTATTTCCACGAATGGTCCTTTATTAACATTTCTGTTAAGAACGTGGATAAAATTATAAATTCACACTTCTTTCTCTCCTCAATTAAGCTTGCTCTCTCCCCTCACACTCATTTCCCAAACCCGTCGCTGAGTGTGAAGCTTTGAATCCAAAAGCGAAAATCATAACTCTTCTCTCAATTATTTGTCTAACTCGTGGAACCTAAATTCGAACCAGTAACCTTCATGAATGAGTTTTATATTTATTTTCTTTGCAATTTCTTGAGACTAATTGAAAAAACTCATCCATAAAACTTATTGGCTTTGATTTTAGGTTTTATCAGGAAGACTAATAATTGAGAGAAGAATGATTATTTCAGTTTTGGGTTTAGAGCTTCAAACTCAACAACGAGTTTGGAAAAGAGTACGAGAGGATGGAGGAAGCTTAATTGAGGAGAGAGAAGTATGAATATACAATTTTATTCATGTTCTTAACAAAAACATTAACAAAGGATCATTCGTGAAAAATGATATAATAATTGGGAACTAAATTGGTAATATTTGATATGTAGGGACTAAATATGTAAAACGACTTATAACTGAGGACCTTTTATGGAATTTACTCCTCATAATTATTTTTTCATTACTCGTTTTTAGTAGATAAATTTATACTTTCTAATAAAATATTATTTCAAAATTATCTTACTTTTTCCCAAAAATTGTGCATTTTTTATTTTTTTATATTGATTTGTATACCTAAAAATTACTTTAAAATTTAAAACAAAATAATACTCCACAATCTTTTTATAATCTTTTTTTTAAAATGGTATACAATCTTTTTTTTATTCCCAATTTCTACCGATCACTTTTTACTTTTTAACTTTTTTTAAGTTATGTGAATTTAGACTGAAACGATTAGTTCGTAACGAATTTAAGCTATTACTCCTTATTAATATTAAAATGGACCAGTGGGTATATGTACGAATTGGGAATTGGAGTGGACATGGTCCCAATTTGAAATTGATAGTATACAAAATAAATTGGAATTGAAAAATTCAATTACATACCGTTGCAATTCCAAATCTATCAATTCTGTGTACCGAACAGACCCTAAAGAAATAGGCAATTAGATATTCGTTTAAAAAAATGCAATTCTTCTTGCAAAGTTCATTGTTTTAGCGGCTCATATACCCATCAATGTAGTATATATTCAATCTTATAATTCCAACCTCTTAAATGTATAAACGAGTCTCTAACACTGGATGCAAAGAAGCTTAGGATAACTTCGTTGTCACTATGCCAACATGCTTTCACGGTTTTTGATTAAATTATAAATAGAAGTAAACAAAAAAATTTACAAATGGAACCAAGAACAAGAACCAAGCCATGCAATTTAAGGTTCCGATTCCAATTGCTTTGAGACCAAATTACCAACCTAGGACCCGTGATTCCATCCACAAAAGCTAGCTCGAATGGAGGAGAGTCGAAGGCCAATAAATCCCACAAAAAGGGCACCTCGCAGCCCGGTGTGGGATCTTACGGTTCTTACCCGGGTATTGCAACAAATCGGAACCTCTTCCGCTGTTCTGCCCCCCTTGTGAACGGTTACCCGAACCCATCATGCTCTTCAGATGGGGGGCGAACACGGGTATCAGTAACATCCGAAATATCTTACCCATCAAAACCTGTCCCATTTTGTGTTGACCACTACAATTTGCATCCCCAACTCTAGAAATGTGGGAACCAATTGACATGTCTCTCCATTGGAGCAGAGTTAAAGACTGTGTGATGCTCTACCAGTAGTCTCCACAAGAGCAAGAACCATTGCAGAAGTGATGGAACCGATTGGTGTCTCTCAGAACTATCTCTCTATCAACCACCATAGAAACAAACTTGAATGCGCTATGGCAATCGCCGCAGACCCTGATGTTCTTCTTTATCCGGATAGTGGAACCAGAGGGGGTGCTGAGAAGCCCAAATGCCAAAGCCAGTTTCTCGCTGTGCTCTTGCAGCCTCTCTTCTCTCTCCCTCTGGTCCATAAACCAAAGGGCATTGCTCGTGTCTGGCACATACCCAATTCTTTTTATCTCCTCGCATATCTCCTTCCACTTTCTTCGTATCGCCTCCCTATCCGGGTGGGACTCATCATTTGCTACAAAAACATGGACAGCATTCTCAATTTCTAACCAGCTGCAAGCCGGTTCTTTCTTCACTCCACTCTCATTCATCGCCTTTCTCACTTTTGCTGCATCGTTCAACCTCCCGGCGGACGCGTAGATGTTGGAGAGCAAGACGTGGGGCCCTGAGTCGTACGGGTCGAGTTCAAACACCCGTTCGGCCGCATAGACGCCCAAATCCGTGTTTTTGTGCTTCCTGCAAGCTCCTAACAAAGCTTTCCAGATTTCTGCGGTTGGTTCCACGGGCATGTCGGTTATGAACGTTCGGGCACGGTCAAGCTGACCAGCACGGCCGAGTAGGTCAACGATTGTCACGAAATGCGAAATTTCGTGTCTTACCTTGAATTTATTCATTAACTCGAAATAATACATTCCTTTATCTAAAAGCCCGGAACGGCTACAGGCAGTGAGAACAGAGAGGAAGGTCACCTCATTGGGTTGATAGCCTTCCCTAAGCATTTCTTCAAAGAGCTCTATAGTCTCCTTCCCCAGCCCATGTTGGGCAGAGGCAGTGAGCATTGAGTTCCATGAAACTATATTCCTTTTCACCATTTGGCTGAAAACTATCTTGGCATCACCAATGCTACCTGATTTTGCATACATATTGAGAAGGGTGTTGGCTAGAAATGCGACGAGTTGTAAACCCGATTTTATCATGTGCCCATGGACACACTTTCCCTGCTCCAAAGCTCCAATACTTGCACAAGCAGAGAAAAGACTTGAAAACGTGTAATGGGTCGGGTCAAGACCGGATCTTTTCATATCCAAGAAAAGATTCAATGCGTTCTCCCCCTCCCCTTTCCTAGCATGCCCGGAAATCAAAGCATTCCAAGAAACCTCATTCTTCATCTTCATCCCCAGAAACACAGACATTGCCTCATTCATTTCTCCACAACTGGCATACATATCTATAAGAGCACTCCCCACATAAACACTCTCCTCAAACCCGTGTTTCAAGCAAACAGCATGGGTTTGTCTTCCCATCATAGCATCGGTCGTGCCAGAACCCGCGGACTTGAGAACACTCCCGAAAGTGAAGTGGTTGGGCGCGAATCCGGACCTCATCATCTCATGAAACATCGTCAGCGCCTGAAAAAACCCCTCGTTTTGTGAATACCCGGTGATCAGAGACGCCCAAGAAACCATATCCCTCTCGGGCATTTCATCAAACACCTTCTGGGCCTCCTCCACACTCTGGCACTTCGAATACATGTTTATCAAAGTGTTGTTATGAACAACATAATGTCTGAACCTGGACCGAAGGAAATGCTCGTGAACAGCCCTGCCTTCTTTCAGCCATCTATGATCGGCACACTTCTTGATGAGTTTCTGGTACAACCGGGCATCGGGTTCCATTGCGCCCCTGTCAATGAGATCGAGGACCAAAAGCCCTCCATTAGAAGCCTTCCGGAGAAGGTCCTTTTCCTGGATGACACCAATGGATGTAGGATCATCGTCTTCAACACCAGATCGGAACTGGGATTCTTCTGAAGATGATGTCTCTGCAAATGCAGTGGCCAAGAATCGCACTGATAGAATGCCGATTTTAATGGGGATTGATGAAGCCGATGACGATATGATTGAATTTGCAATAGAAAGACTGGTTGCATGCTTCATCATATACTTCCTGGGAGCCAATTTGAAAGACGCCGGAGGTTTAACTGTTTAAGCTTTAAAAAAACTGTGAAATTTGGCCATTAGCTACGAAATTTGGTTCTTCAAATTGGGGAAGAAGGATTTTTATGTAATTATCATAGTTTTCCATAAAATTTTAATTTTATATTAATTTTAAAAATATTATAGAAAACACTGTTATTGGATAGTATTTTCAAAATGTTAACACCTAACGTTATGTCACTATTCTTTTTAATATACTACGTATGAATTATGTAAAATACATGAATTGTTTAAATTCTACGTACATTTGGATGGATTTTGATGTATTTCATTATCGAAATTTGTTTAGATTTGAAAAATATATACAGATTATAAATTGTTCAAGCACTAATATATGATTATAAAATAAATTAAAATTTATAGAATAAAATGTAAATAATTTTGACTTGTAAAGAAAGTTTAGACGTTGTCATAAACAACAAAATTTTTAGTAACCAAAAGAGTTATTATCGAGAGTAATGCTACATGCACACCACCTCTTTCCCTCTATCACAAAAAAGGTTCTCAGTTTGATTTGATACAAAATTTAAGGAAATGAAAATGTGTAGTTGAAAGTGATTCAGAAGAGAGAAAAAATTGTAAACTACTCAAAGTTTTTCAAAAAAGAAAGAGAATGATGTCTTAAAAAGAAAAACAGGGTCGCTACGAAATTGACTCCAAAGTCAAAATTAACTTAAAGGGGTAACAGAAGTGGGTGGGGGTGTGTTTTGGTCGGGCAGGGTGGAGTGGGTGGGGGATTTACCGGAGGGATTAGTGGAGTAAGAACCATAAATTCTACGAACAGGGCACACTAGCATCCAATATCATGGGAACTCATTCGAAAAGAATATAAGAAGCTTTTTTTGGGACAAAGGGGTAACATTAAAAAAAATACATAGTCCTCCATTCCAATATTGAAATTCAATACATCAAGATTTAAATGACTTTTATAAAATTCTAATGGAATATTTATAAATTTTTAAAATACAAAGAAAAAATGGATACACCCTTAATCTAGTCACTCTAACAAAATTTATCTAACGATGTTACTGAAATGCTAAGTTGACACATTAATCGACATAACTTATTGTTATTCATCAATCTAATTGCCAAATTCAAAAAATTACTCCTCCATTTCAAAATCATATTCTCAATTGTTATTAACATTATCAAATTATAACTTAGTTGCTTACATATTTTCATTTATCATCCGTTCAAATAAGATAGTAATGTCACCTCCTATATGCCAAATAAAACTGGTAAAAATCATGTCAATGTACATATTCTACATTTCAACAACACCATTAAGATAAATTTCACTAGCTCTACCCAAAAAAATTCTTTTGCTCTATAAAGAATCCTTGGTAACATTGTAGCTATGATAACTTCTTCCCATCACAAAATTAAATTTGGAAAGATTTCACCTTACAAAATGTGACAGACAAATGTTTAGCAAGAAATATTGCACGAAATGGTATAGAAAACGTTAGACGAACGAACAAAAAGAAAACAGTCCGAATTCGGGAACCATTTCATCTCACACACAGATGATATTATAATGTATCTCATGATTCACATGTTGCAGACACCAAGTCATATGGGCATTTGAAAAACCACACCAAAAACAACAACCAAAAAACAGACAAAATATGATCATTTACTGAAAGAACAACTCATTCTCTACTGCACTGTGTATCGCCGAACATCTTGAGGTCTCTCTATACAAGTATTGGTTGAATGATGATTACAAAGAATATGTGGGAAACACAAATTTATTAATTCTTTTCATGAAAATGTGTGTGAGAGAGAGTATGAGAGAGAAGAGAGAGTATGAGGAAGCAAACCAAACCCACAACCAGCAGACTGCATACGCAAACACGGCGTGCCTCTTCTTGGCAAAGAGGCCTTTGAAAAAGGGGGGGGGGGAGTAAATGGTAAATACATATTTAGAAGTTAAGAGTGACCTTAGGTATTTGTTTTTGGTCGACCAAATAACCGTTCAGGTTTCATCTTCTGTAAGTTGCGTGCCATATCCGGGTTTCATATCTGTATTGACACAATGACGATTACGATTATGATTATGGGTCGAGCCAACAGAAGCAAAGTATTAAAGTCAATATAGAAGAAAAGTAGCGAGAATAGCATAGTTGATTTGACTCATTGCTTACATGGCCAATGAAGCTTATAAAGAGGCATAATATATTGAAAATGTTTTAGTTTCAGTTAAATGGAGCATTAAATCAAAATGGTATATTAACGGTTAATACGGGCCCTAATTTTCTATTACTCCCTCCATTCCATATTAACTATCTAATAAGACATTCTTGGTACATTGAAAAACAAATGAATGTAGACAGAGAGCGTGTCTACATTCATTCACTTTTCAATGTATCAAGAATGTCTTATTAGACGGTTAATATGGAATGGAGGGAGTAGTTGTTATCGGGAAAAAGTAAGGTTCAAGTATTTGACAAACAAGAAAAGATGAAGAAGAAGAAGAATTAAAGTTACCTCCTTTCATCAAAGATTTCTCATACTTGTCCTTTCTTCCAATGTCATTCCCCCATTCACAAATCTCATCTCTCCCATCATTCCCAATATCGCTCTCACTAGCCGTCTCCCATTCCGAGTCATCGTCATCGGACTCTCTACCACCACCACCTTCGCAATGAACACCGCCGTGCTTAATAGCCGCCTCTCTGAACAACCAAGCGGCCTTCATCTGCTTCTTAACCAAGCGCTCCGCATAATCCGGAACCTTATTCTGCCTTAAAGACAGATCAGGGTCATTAGACTGAGAACACTCATTAATGAACAAAATCGCGTCCAATAAGCTCTCCTTAGCCAAACCCATCATGTCATAAGCTTGAGCTCTTCTCCAAAGACTCTTCGCGTGACGGTTGACCGGATTATGAAGACAAAGCGCACGTGTGGCATCACTAATTGCAGCCATTGGTTGTTGGAGAAGAAGATGACACTGGGACCTATTGCTGTACAGTACCACTCTCTCTCTCTTTGATCTCACCGGACACAAAGAAAGGGCTTCCGAGTACTTTCCGGCGGCCCCAGAAATGTTCCCGGAGGAAAAAAGGGAATTCCCTTCGAGTTTCACCACAAGCGCTGCGGCCTGTTTGATGTGAAGATCCTCCTTGGGCATGTTCTTTTCCCGTTTTAACCTTTGTCTGGAACTCAAAAGTTCTCCGACTTGTTCTTTCACATGGCTGCTGATTGGGGCACGCCCTGTTGCTTGTGATTCGGTGCATTCTAGAAGAACGTTGGTAATGGAGTCCCCGAGCTTCTTGTGATCCCCTAGGGTTGAAATATTAGCAAGATCAACAAGTGCTGGAACTGCCTTATCGATAACCTATGCAAATGATTGTACATTATAATTTTATTTCTAAACAAAATACATGAATAGCTAAGTAACATAATCGCACAAAAAAGTCAAGCAAAAAGAGCAATAGCAGCAAGGAGAACCTTTGTGTAATAGAATATTTCTAGCATCGTTTCTTAATAAAAGGATGTTTCCTCAAATGCCTCCGAAGGAGATAGAATTCATTCTTTGGTAAATGGCGGATCCGTCAGTTTTGTTGGGTTTCACCGGCTTTAGTGGGTTGGCTAACTAATGTTAGTTCCAAGGTGTTGGCTAATCTTTTGGCAAAATAGAAACCCATACTTGTTAGGAGTTTTAATAGGAAGAAATCTCTATTTGTTAGAAGAGGTTTTTTTTACTCCTAACAGCACACTGTGACGGGATCAACGAGGCCGGTGCAGATATTGGAGTCTTTGATCTGCAATTTTACACGTCAGCGACCTAACTGGGATTTATTTATTAAATATCCAGCTGGTATTTTGTGGGCTTTACTTATTTATATAGTATGCTTCATAAGTAGCTTTTTGAGCTAAAAAGCCTAAAGGATTGAATTCTTTTTTGTAATAGAACAATTTTTTCTCCCTAGATTTGAAGGGCTTGTTTGGTCGGGGGATTTTGAAGGGAGGGAAGGAGAACGATGAATTACCTTGAGGCAGGTATTAGGATCTTGGAGCAACCACAAAAGACAATCAATAGCCATATATTGCCAGTCATCCGATGAGCGTGCAATATTGCACAGTGCATCCAAAACACCAGGACATGAAGCAACGGGCCCCCTGCCAAGCTTGTGATGACAAATTGTCCTCAAAAGCCCAATCCCAGCAGGCGAGTTCTCGTTGACAAGCCCACCCCACATCCCGGGAAGTTTAGAAAGGAACTCCAGTTTGCATATGGCCGGAAGAAACTCGTGCTTGAATGCAAAGCAGTTGATGAGTTGAAGAGCCCAACACTGTAGCTGGCTGGCCCACTCTTCGGCCTTCCGGGACTCCATCTCAACTCCGCCCATCCCACGCGTGAGAAGGTCACAATGGTAACTTAGCCTTCTGTCCACATACTGGTAGAAGTGCGTGTAAACTATCTCGAGGGAACTCACAGCCAGCTGGATGGAAAGTTCTAGAATTTCGCCGTGATTCGCCACTTCTTCGAAGGTGGATGGGTAGGTAGCCAAATGACCCAAGGCCCGAACCGCGACCCGTTGTTCGACCCATGTCAGCCTGCCGCTTAAAAGTTCAACCAGAGGCGGGACCACCCCAGCCCGGACAGCCCGTTCGGCGAAATCCTCCATATTCATCGTGTATGATCCGATTATGTGGGCTGCATAGTAAGGAATGTATATGTTTTGGTCGTGTGAGAGCCAACGGCGGTTCTTTAGGCCCTTCCATATAAGGGATGCCATGCACTCAAATATACCCAACTCTATAAACTCCGGATCGTTCGGGTGGGCCATTGCAGTGTTCCAAAGTCCGCTGATTGGAAGGACTTGACCGTCATCGTCCTGAGCGGGTAGGTCTCGGAAGAACTTCAATATACTTGCTCTGCGCTTGTTAGGGTTTCCCTCCTTCATCACACAGAAGAAGCAACCTGGGTAGGGGCAATCAGGGGAAGCCTTCTCCATAATTGATATTACAATGCTAATGCAGCGCGAAGGATATCAACTTTTCATCAAACTGCAAGAAGAAAAATCAGTATATAAAGGTGATTTTAGTGTCATCAGACTGTTTTGGGTAGTTGGATTTACTTAGTGACCTGACATTAAAAATAATACGGAGTAATTATTATTGGAACGAGTTACGAGGTGTGGAGTACACAGTCATTCAATTATATTATCATTTGGGACAAAATGGCTGACGTATTCAACATGAACATCATAATGAGTAAAAGTAATTATCCCTCTGTTCCAAAACAAGTTTCCTGGTTTACTTTTTAGGTTTTCCCAAAACAAACTTCCAAGTTTTAGATGGGGTAAATATTTCTTCAATAACTTAACCCATTACCCCACCTTTTTCGTTCAAAAGGCTTATAAAACTTCAAGCCAGAAGCAACTGTAATGTTTATCTTGGGATGGAGGGAGTACGATAGTAACACATCACCACGGTAATTTCTAAAGTACTTGTCAATTTTTTTTTATAATTTGCATTAATTTATTGTCTTTTGTTTTTAATCAAATATTGAGTAAGAAGTGGGAGTTGTGCAAAGATCAACTTAATTCAAACTCTAACTACAGCAATAATGATAGCAAGATAAGCGACTTTGTGATTCCGAATAGAAAAATTCAAACTTTTTGAGATTTATCACTGCCCAAAGAATGGAGGGTAGAAACACACAAACAGAATTGGGAATATAATGGGCCTATTGTTGTTGTTGGTAAGTATGAATGGAGACATTTGGAAGGTTAAATCTATTTTGATCTATACACACACACACACCTATACATACACACACACACACACACACTTGAAAATTCTTATAGAATGAAGCAAAGATATATTCAATCGACACTCTAACTAAAGAAATAATTATTGCAACTTTGTGGTTCCGAATAACAAAATTCAAACTTTTCTAAATTTTCCCATGCCCAAAGATTTGAAGTGTGAAAAAAATGAAAATAGTTTGTGATCCCACTCTATAAATTGAGCTAAAAAAATGCTTGTGCATACATAAAATTCTATTTTTCTGGGAAATTAAAACACAAATATTTTAGGGAAATTGAGAGAAGTTACTCCTAATATCTAGAAAGAATGCAGCTTAATTTGTTTGATTAATTTTTTTTAAATAAAAAAAAGTTAAATCAAACTAATTCAGTTGCATTTTTTCTAAATATTAGGAACAATATCTTGATTTTAACTTAAAACATAAAAAAGGAAAATATGAAATGAAATACACATTAGAACAAAGAAAGTACTTTTTTTTACAATACAAAGAAAGTACTTTATCTGAATGAAATATGAAAAATAGATCTGCCACATTTTCAAAAATATAGGGCTAAAAAAAAGATCTGTGGACTGTTTTTTCCAGATTCGGAGTTTCAACCATAGATATAAAAACTCACCAATGATTTTTTTTTTAAAAAAAAAGTGCAAATTGTGCTTCATATCTGGAAAACTGAAGCAAGACCCAATTTTTATTTTTTGTTTTGACCATGGAAGACTGAAGATTTAAAGCAGAAAATGGAATGAATACCTGAAGGTGCGTTTTCTGTGGAAGAAGATGATGGAGGCCACCACAGCAGACGGGGAGCTGGTCAATACAATAGCGGTGTCACTGGGTGGTGGGGTTTAGAGACTTTAGACCCGAACCCCAACTAAAACCAGCACTTTCTTGCAACTTTTATTCAAAGTATATTTGTACTCTGATTTTATACACACTAACATTTTACATTGGTGTAATGTTAATTTTTGTTAAATGCACCAACACTTTGTTTCAGTATAAATTTTTGTTAACGCACTAACACTTTGTATCAGTGTGAACCATCAAAATGTTGGTGTATACCTTTGGTGTAAGTCTGGGCTACAATTTATTGTGTAAGGGTCTGTTTGGCAACTTCTGAATAGGTAAGTGATGAACCAGTAAGAGGTCTGAACCATTAAGTGCTGAACCAGTAAGAGATCTGAATCATTAAGAGCTAGTATATTGCTTAACTATTCGGAGGCAAATGTCTGATCAATTCAAATAAGAGGTATTGACCATTCAGACTCTGTATAATACTTAACCATTCAGAGGCAAATCTCTTAACCATTCAGACATCTGAACCATTAAGAGGCTGAAACAAACAGTTTGAACCATTAAGTGCTGAACCATTCAGACATCTGAACCATTAAGAGCTGAAACAAACAGCCCCTAAGTATAGCATGGTCCTTATTCAAAACAAAAGAAAAATTATTTGGATTAAGCTATTTGTACCCCAATTTGTACACCGCTGGTATGCACTTTCATTTTGTGTCAGTGTATTGCACTTTCACACAGACACAATGTTAGTGCAAATTTCTGTTAACGCATCATCATTTTGTATCAGTGTGAATTATCAAAATGTTAGTGTATACTTCTGGCCTATTGTGTAGTTTTGGGGTATATTTTTTTGTATAAGTGTAGCATGCTTGAAATTATTTTATAAAAACAATTCTATATTTACTGAAACACTCCGGTTGGTGTAACATTATCCGACAATGTTATAGTATGACCTAGAAATTCTACGGTGCTCAGTGCGTGAAATTGGCGATTTTTACTCATCTTAACTCCCCCCGCAAATACCTCATCCCGCTCCGATTCGAACCCACCTCCCTCCACCCCTTCAATTGTACCCTCCAAGTTTATTTGACTTTGGAGTCAAAATAAACATTGAGGGTGCAATTGAAGGGGGTGGGAGTGGGTTCGAGTCAGGACAGGGTTGGAAAACTTGCCGAGAGTTAGGATGTAGGAATAATCAATTTTATGAAGGGGGCATCGCACGACTTTCGGTTCATCTCATGAAATCGCCGGGCAATGTTACATGAACCGCCATGGCGCTAATGGATGGTTAATGTAAACGACTTGCTTTGCATAACAAAATAAAAGATTAGTCGTATTTCATATAAAATTTAAAAAACAGTAGGTATTAAAAATAACAAAAATAAAACACAACAAAGGGTCAAAGACCATATAAATAATGAAATAAAAAGATAATTAATACAAACAAATCTCAAACCGATAAGAAATAAAAATTAAAATATACTAGAGTGGTGGTTTATAAATTTATAATGTTTTAGGCACCATACCAAGTACTAATGTATTACTTTCTCTTATTGGTAAAAACAAATGAGTATAAAAATAACAAATTGATAAAAATTACTCCGTATTTTCTTATTGAGGCAATTTTTTGTTAAAAATATTAATATCTCGAATTTGACTTTTAAAAATATAAAAATACGCTTTTTTTAGAGATTTTTTTGTGTTTTAAAAATATAATTCTTCGGAAAATAATTTGTGGCATTTAGAATGTGCTTGTTCATATTCGTTGTCCAAATGGTGGATATAAATAAACTAGTATTTTTTCCCGTGCAACGCACGGAGTCGAACAAAATTTTTATTAGTTCTAAAACTTTTTTAATGCAATATTTTTTCCCAGAATAAAGAAAATATATATCCCTATGATTTTTAATACTATATACAAAAATGTCAAAGTAGAATAAACAATATTTGAGGAATTGAATGTGTATTCAACCAAGTTTTTTTTAATACCAAACTTTTTGAAAGACTGTAGGGTATATAATTTTTTTGATATAGTTGCAAGAGTATCCTTGTCATCTAGAACTAATATTTTTAATTTTGTTTTTGTCTTTACTCATGGAACCATAACATAAAACTGACCATGAGTGAATACCAACTTGGTTAAAAGTAATGCAAGAAATGACAATGTTTGACTTTGACTTTTGTTTATAGTCATTGCAAAATATAAAACTATTGATATTTGCCTTATAAATAATTTCAAGAGTGGTCCTAGATCAGATGGTATCAATTTCATTACGAGTATGTAAACTTTTTGCTGACTCGATTTCTCAAAACCACAATCGACCAACAACATTCTTTCACAGCTCTTCAAGGATTAATCGTGTACCATTACATAATCCATATATTTGGTCAATGTTTCTCAATATCAAAATCGTTAAGCCATTTTTAAGATTATTTTGTAGTTTTGGACCCCCGAACATTTGATTTCATTTAAAATTTAATTGTTATTTATTTGTCATCAATAATTACATCTGAATCGGCCTGACATGAAGAATCAAAACTCAGGCACACCATTTCACATTAGATAATGAGGGATATGACAAATTCATTTACCATCTCTACAACCTCAAGCATGGTCCAGTAGTGTCATATCCTAAAAAATGAATAAATTTTCATACTCTCCAATAGGTTCAATTAGGATAAGTGAAGTCCACTATACTCTTCACAAAATAACTTGTGTCTAAAATTAACAATTTATGCGGAATTTTAAGGTCAGTTGTTTCATCAATCATTTGTCTAAGTTTTTCATCTCTAACTTTAATTATCCCATCAGAAAAAAATTCTATGTCCCTATCTGGGATAGAGGACGTAGAAGAATGTAATATCATATTCTTTGCTAACATATAAATTTTAAAATACGACCATAATTTTAAAGAATAGATGATAGCACTCACAATTTTCTCTCTTGAAGTTTTGGGTAAAACAGGAAGAGTTTGCCAAAAATCACCTCTGAGTACAATTATTTTCCCTTCGAGTCCTACTTTTCCCCCTCCGAATTCAACTATTTCCCCTCCAAATGGTTCATTTCTAGAGTTTTTAATAGATAAATTCATTACATCTCTCATTTTGTTAGATAAATTATTTGTTGTGCTGTATTGCAATAAAAAGCCAAAGGCTATTGGTTTTTTTTAATACAAAAGATAGGCTCATGGTAGATGGTACCTTGTTTGTAAAAAAGAAATGAATCTCATCCGTTATCACGGAGTGATGCTATCTTGTTTGTAATATTTTCATGTATAATATGAGTTTGTTTAAAAAAAGGTTTGCTTGAACATGTTTTGTTTGTAGTGTTTGGACATTTTACATAACGGCTTTTTGGATGACTTTTGATTATTTAGACTATTTTTCATTATTTTGACCCGTCAAACAGCCAAAACAATATTTGGTAAACAACTATTGAAGTTGGTTGTTACAGTCTCAAAACCAAAATATGAAAAACTAAGAGTAGTCTTTCAAGTTGACTGTTGGACTATAATTATTTATTGTACAAATATTAAATAAACAAATTAATAAATTCGAAGTAAATAAAAAACAAACAAATAAATGAGTAAATAGTAACCAATTTCTTGTTTCCCAAATGAAATTCACTTAGAATTTATGTGGTAAAGTATTTATTAAAAATATTATTTTATTCAAAAGTTGATATACAAATAAAAAATTTACATATTAATTTTTTTTAATAAATATAATTTGTTAAAAAGGTATAAAAATAATGAAAAATATTAACTCTAGAATATTAACCTAAAATTATATTTGGTGATGAAGTGTGTGTGTGTGTGTATATATATATATATATGAATTGTATTATATTATATTATATTGGAGAGCATATTATATTTTATAAATTTGAATTCATGTTATATATACTCCTTCCGTCTCATAAAACCTTTCTCCTTTCTTTTTTTCATTCGTCTCATAAAACAATTCTCATTTCTATTAGAAAGTCACTTTTACCCATTACTTTTTCATACTCTACCTATCACATCGTACCTTTTTACTAATAATCTACCCATCAAATCTTACTTTTACCCATCACATCAAAGGACATTTTTGGAAATTCAATACTAAAATACACTCCCTTAAATCTCTTCAAAAAGAAAAACATTTCATGTTCCATGGGACGGAGAGAGTAAGTTATATTACACAAATCATGTACCGGAGCACATGAAATTAAGTCTTTAAATACAATTACATTTATAACAAGTATTTAAAAGCATTTAAGTTTGCCAAAAAAAATTTTGTGAACACTTAATGTAGAGCATGTTTGGGAATGACATTAAAGATTAGCATTAGCGTTTTGAATAAAATTTTAACGGTGCAGATTAATTTGAAAACGATGTCCGTAGATAACATTTTGAAAACGCTAACGCTAATCTTTAACGCTATTCCCAAACAGGCCCGTAATCGACCAATCAAAACAGTTATGTGCATTAGTCATTTCAACTTACGATCAATTTTTAACCTTTAGTCAAATAAATATTACTCCATCCGTCCACAAATAAAGTTATCATTGCGCATTACGATATTTGATTGAAATTATTTTCAAATCATTTTATATGAAAAATGGTATGAAATTAAAAAATAAAAATTACATATTTAAAAACTACATGAAAAGATCTACAAAACTAGAAATGAAATGACTATATTATTTTATCACACAAAAATAGTCCAATAAAATTTGACCTCTCAATAGTTAGACGACGTACATGGTATATTAATTATACGCTTTGACCGAGGTATTAGTTTTTCTCATACTCTGATTTTTTTTTGGTTAAGCTTGGGGAGAAAGAAAGCGAAACCATGGCGCCGAACCAACAAACTTCTCCCTCTCCTTCTTTTCTCGTCATAAACCCTTCTTCATCTCTGCCGGAGAAGTCGATGAACAGTTCTCCGATCTCCGAACACAATTTCTGAATCGCTCTTCGTTTTACAAGCACCGGAAAATGCAAACCTTCCGGATTTTCTCAAATTACTGGAAGAACAACCGCTCCGCGAGCTCGTTTAATCTCATCAAACGGTAATGCCTCTCTCGAATTCAAAGAGAATTTTCACTGATTTTGTTTTGTATTTTTATCGAAGCTACGATTAGTGGATGCGTTAAGAGCATACTGCCTTTTGACTGTTCGCGAATTGATATTCGAACATGTAGGGGATAA